GCGTTATCTACTTTTCAAAAAAGTAACTGGCTACTCGTTACTTAAAAAAATTAAATATATACAAAAATAATATTTATTTTTTTTCCGATAATATATAATAAAATATTATAGTATTATTTAAATATGCAAAAAGAATATATAAGATCGTTTTAAAAAAAAATAAACTCAGATGATTCCGCAGAAAACGCATTTTGCAAAATTATCTTTGTCTTTTGTAAAATATTTCCATAATCTAGATACCATATTTAAAAAAATTTTTTTATTTAAAGTATAAATAATAAAATTGGCGTTATTATTTAAAAAGATTTAAAATAATAAAAAATTTGGGTGTTCCTTTCTATTTTTATAAAAAAAAACTTTTAAAATACTATAAATCTATTTTAAAATAGAAAAAGAAAAATTAGAAGGTGTTGTGCATTATACGGTTAATGATGCTTACCACCTTAAGGTACTATCTCTCAAATTTGAATTTTGTTTTTATTCATTTTTCATTTGGATAGGCACTACCAAATATATTTATAATATATATTTGAAAAATCGTGATTTTTGGAAAGCCTCTATGGCCCTAGTAGGCAAAAGCACTGATCTCATGGTCTCGGGTTCAAATCCCGGAAATGGTCATGTTTTTTTTCTTAATCTAACTTGGTGGTTCCATCCTTGGGGGGATAATATATAGGAGGCCGGACTCGACCACGTGATTCCGTATTAATATATTAAATAAAAAGGGTCTTACTACATTTTAATAAATTTTGGTCGGTATTTAGCAAATTAGGTTGGTATTTAGAATATTTCCATACATTCACTTGGTAGTAAGCATCATTAACCTGCATTTGCATTGTTTAAAAAAAAATTATTTAGAAAATATTATAATGTAAAATAAATATACATAACATAAAATAAAATAACAAAAAAAAAGAAAAGTAAAAAGATCGGGTCGATTTTTTACAAATATCGGTCCGATCCGATATTTTTGGAAAATGCTAAATATTGGTGCCGATTCGATCTGATATTTAAAATCGGCACAGCCTTACTTATATTTTAATTCCATGATTGCGCTTTACAAAATATTATGAAAGAATATTATTCTAAAATTCATCTTTTCACCTTCAAATGCTTTTTTAAGTTTGAACTGCTGGACATTGAGGTTGAAATATTTATGTTTGGATATAATTTACATTTACAAAGTTTAGACTTGGTACCATTAATTTTCTTTATTGGTTTAAAATATATTTCAAATTGGGGCCAGAGAAGGGTCAAATCATCTTCATCTGAAGAAATATGTACTATGGACATAATATTCTTAAAATAAATTATAAGAATAATAATATCATTAGTAACATTTACTTAGAATTTTGATTGAATATTAATTTCGACAGAAAATTCAACGAGAATTTAAAATAAAAATGAAGGAAGTGGTTGATGTGAATTAAAACTCGGCTTAAATTATTTATATTAAGAATTAAAAAATAAATAAAAGTAATTTAATAATACAATAAAATAGGTTTTTGATATTTTTTAAGAAAAAATATAAAACGAGTAACGTTTTGCGTTACCGTTACTCAAAAAAATGAAACGCGTTACCGTTACTCGTTACCTCTAGAAGAAGGAAACGAATGACTTTCCTTTTCTTCAAAAAATGTAGCACTAAGTTTTTTACATAATGTTTAATTTATTTTCCTTATAGTATTTCCAATTTGCAATTATTTCACTCCAAAGCCCGAATCCAAGATGAGAAAATATAATTTAGTATTCATAATTAAAATTGTTTAAAGAAACATATTTGATAAAATTACATTTTTAAAAAAATTTATTATTTTTTAAAACTTGTATATTTTATATATATCTTGACCTATCAACAGAATCGATATAAATAAGAGACCCCTAAGGAATTAAAAATTTTAACCCGGAGCCCCGCCTTTAAGCTATGTTTAGTGTCTCTTCCATTTTTAGGTCTGTTTCGGATTATTTTTAAATTGATTAGTTTACTGCTTACCATTTTTTTTAAAATTTTTTTATTTTAAAATAATTTTAGATGTATTTTGTAAATTCTTTCGAAGTGAAATTGCAAATTTGAGCAGTAAATGAATGTTAAACTATCCTAGGTTCTGAGCTGATTACATTGTTATGGTCTCATTTTAAATTTTTTTAAACCATTTTTTTTATGAGTTTTTGAAAAAAAATTTCTAAATAATTTTGAGCAAATAGCTTTATTTTGTTTGAATAATTTTGATCAAATTTTACGAAAAATGCCGAAATATTTTTTTAAAGAATTAAACCTTTTGTAATTTTCATGCATAAAAAATCTTTTAAGATGAAATCAAAAATTTTTTAAAAAAAATTAGTAATTTTTGCTCAAATATTTTTGAATATTTTTTTTTGAAACTCTGAAAAACCATTTACCTTTACCCACTTTTTGGTTTCCTACCTTAAACCGAATTCAAACTGATCTAAAATTTTAACGGGTACATAATTCTGTCTATAATTTTAGGGGGGCGTGAGTTCATAAATTAATTTATAGGCGTTTGTATTTCGTGAGGGTTAAACTCGATTGATAAATTAATAAAAACTAAGCAGGTCATAAGTAGGTGCACAGTCAAAAGGAAGATCCCAGGACCATGCATTTACAGTTGACACGAATCGCGGGAAAGTATATAAAATATGATATAAACATATTTTATATTCATTTTTGTACACGAATTCGCGATAACTGTAAATGTAGAGTAAGGCAAAGGGTAATTATACAAATTCACAAATGTAATTTTGGCACATTGCTGATTTCTTGTTTAAGAGTTGGGTCAATTAATATGTAACCACTTTTTTATTCGATACAATATGTACTATAGTTACTAGTTTCTTATGAGCGGAATTAAATATTATCTATTTTTAAGTTAATATAACATAAAATAATTTTTAGTTACTATTTAAAGGTAAAAAAAAACATTTTTAAAAATTAAATTATATTTAAACATGCAAATTTTTTATGAGTTATGATGAGGCTTTATTTAGATATTCACTGCTCCTTAGACTAGGTTAAACAACTTTTGAACTAGGATACTCAAATTAGGTTTGTTATAAGTATTAGGTGGGATTTTATTTTCCGCATTTTTTGTCTACTTTTTATAGTGATTAGTCTAAGCTAAACAGCCGACTAGTAAATAATATATAGAATAAGGATACTGCCTTTAAGGCTCCGATCTTTAAAAAAGGTTCATAGTGGGTTTGGCAAAATTTATTATTTTTTTGAAAGAAAATATTATATTTTAATTAGAGAAGTAACAGATTTAGATTGAAAAACATAATTATTTTTTTTACCTTAGTATAATATTTCTGCAAGTAAAAAGTTAATGATTCAGAAGATCCGGTTAGGAAATTATTGAAAAAATATACAAGTCATGGGATAATTTTATATTTTGTCAAATGTAAATCCGACTATCAATCATAAATTCAAATATGTGCTTTAAAAAAATTTCAACTAGTCGATATCAATAAAATTCGGAAATAATTAAAAAAATATATAAATCAACAGCTTCAGATAATTTTTATTGAATGTATTCCAAACTTAGAAATCATTTAGGAAAACTAGTTTTATTTAAAACAATTTAATTCAAATACCAAAGTCGTGTACATGAAAAGTTGCAATGCACTGTCAAAGTTAGGCATAAACTTTTAATTTTAATAACTAGATTTTGTTAAAAACAAATAGAACTATTTTTTAAAATTGTATTGTATTATTCTAATATTTCACTGAACGAGACTCCTTTTTATAGAAGGAGGATTCAACAGCAATGAATTTAACAAACTAATTATATTTTTTTAGAATATTAAATAATTTCCCACTATACACTTAGCTTCAAATTATACAATATATTAAGTCAAAATTTGAAACAATGAAATACAAAAGAATTTTTCATATCTAATTAGATTGATACAATTTAGTATTTTTAATTTTTCAAATTGCGGGAGAAATTTGGTATTTTGCGGGTAAAATATGAGAATTGTAATAGAAATGTAAAAATTGCTAAAAAAAATGTTTTGCGTGTCACCGGGATTGTGAATTGTCTTAGTTATCCCACTGTTAATTCTTATAATTCTCTATATGAATATTAAAAAAGTCGGTAACGTTTTATAATTTCAAAAAGTTAATATTTTATACTTAGTTTTAATTTTCACTTCTTTGCCTTGGAGTTACTTTATTTATAATTATATTTTATATAATAATTTAAACGTTATTCGTGATAATTAAGCTCCTAACACCATAATGTTATACAAAAACACACATGAAAATGATAAAACATGAATGATGTTGATTTAGTATTGGATAAAAATTGTGCTGCCTGCAATAAGCAAGTTGATCCATTTTCTAATCATTGTTTCTCTTGCCTCAAAGTCAGTTGCCGTTTTTTATCTTTGATTTCGGCCGGTTTACCTAATATTTTGGAGCCGTTAGGCCTCCTAAACGAGGAAGGCAAGCGTCCCGATGGCATGTCTTTAACTTCTTGGCTCGGTGGCAAAAGACTTGACTGTGTCTGGGATGTCTCATGTGTCACCTCGTTTCCGGCTAATAGAAACCATGACCTCTTAGAACTCCAAGAAGTCAAAAAATACAACAACTATAGGTACTTCTAAATTCTTTTATTTTTATTCCCCTTATTTTTAGTGTTTTGGAAAACCCCGGTTCCCAATCCCTAAAATTTTTAAATCATTTGGGTAGATAATTTCATAAGGACGGGGGTTAAAAACGAGTCCTTATCTCTCAAACAAAAAATCCAATTTGAAATCCTAAAAGGGAACAACTGTTTCTTTGAAACATTACCTCTTACCTCCTAGTTCAATACACATGGCATTCTTCCTTTTTTTCTTCTTCTTTATATATAGATGTTAAATTTATAAATATTTATATTAAATACTAAATATTATATGTATATTAATATTTTACATTTTTTTTATAATTATATAATACATGATTATTATTACTAATAAAATAAAATTTGAAGGTATAAAAACGTTAGTGCGTGAGAAATTAGATTTCATGTCTGCGTGTAAATAAAAATTGCGGGAGTCTTCCGCTGATGGGAGGAGACCTGGCAACCTTGATCTTTTCTGCCATAAAAAAATCAATTATTTTTTACACTTTATTTACAATCAATAATACAATTATCATTCATCAATAAATTATTTTAAAATGGTACAATATTTTTTCCATAAAGTAAATCTCGAGTATTTAACAATTTTTTTTTACAAATATATTTAAATATTAATAAATTATGATGAATTTTTTATGCAATGTTTACAATAATTTGCTATAAAAGTCGGGTTGTATTTTGTTATAAAAGCGAATAATTTTGTACGTTCATTATAAATTATTAATACTTCATAAGAGGAAATTTTATTTAAAATTAATGACACTTTTGGTAAAACGAGAAAATCTTCCCTAAATCTATCATTGCATACGAACTTTGTTTTAAGTATCTCATGACAACATCTTTCATTTTTTTGTAATAAGGAATGAATGGTTGCAGGACTCTTCTCATCTTGACTGAAAATATTATGAAATGGTTAACTTGTTAAATATATTAAAAGATAATTTAAAATTTGATATAAATCAGAGACGCGTCGACAAAGGCCCTTTAATTTTTATCAACGAGAATAGAGGAGAATCGGGGCAAAAAGGTCAGTATTCTGCATTTTTTATCATAAAAATTCAAAATAAAAAGTATGACAAATTATAGCGCCATATAAAGCCCAATCCCGCATCTAAAGAATAAAAGTTTAACTCCTTACCTATAATATTTTAGGAGCTCTAATTAATTAGTGTGGGTGACATTTTCGATGGCTAAGCAAGAGGGTAAAGTGGATAAAATAAAATTGAACATAATTTTATTGTTTTAAACAAAATATTAAAAATTTTACACTTCCAATAACAATTGTTTATTATATAACCAAGGCTTAAAGAAACACGGTACAAAATATTAAATCATTAAGATAAATAGATGATGATAATACAAAAAAATACTAAGTCATTATTATAATTTTAAAAAATATTTTAGCCAGCATCTAAATTTTTTTGCTTAGGAGGGATATGTACCCTCTGCTTTCCCCGCTGTGTAAGCGCCTGAGTAGAGGGAGATCCAATATATTTAGAATAAAAACTATCAAATGGCAACACATTACTTCGATATCAATATCGCTAAAGCATATAAAAAATTTTTAAAATAAATGTGTTATCTTTAAGCATTAAGTAGTGTCTGTGGTATTATTAAGTCTAAATAGCGAATTCTTAAAACCGTTATTTTACTACTCAATCATATTTTCTTCTAATAAATAACGATAACTAAAATGACAAATAAAAGTTTATACTAACCATAAGAAAAATATTTGGTCAAAATTATATATAAGTAACTGAAACTATACTTTGTTACTTTTATGACGATACCATAAATAATATTAAATTTTTTTGATGTAAAAAAAACCTTGTTCAAAAGGTGTATATTGTCGGAAAGCACTCTCCAGGTCTAATACGTTCTCGTAATAACACAATTGATCGTATAATCGAGCTTCATCATACTTTTAAGAATTTTGGGTAAAAAATTTTTTTTATTAATATTATTCTTAATTAAGAGATTTTTATTCAGGGTGAATTTATCTATTAACACTTCTTGCATGCCTAATTGTATATGAGTGTTCCAAAAATAACTCTTAAGATCTATTTCCATTAAAGAAGGAAAAAGGGAGAAAATACATAACAACCTTAAATTATTTTGGATTTCTTAATGATAAGCCCTAATATTCGTAATTATCAATTTAATTTATAGATCGAAAATTAACATCATACTTTGGATCTGATTTATTTTTTTAAAAAAACTTTAAATTATATGTACTTCTTGAACAAGCACAGCTTGATTACATTTTGGGCATTGCAATTCATTGCAGTCAGATGTATGAGGGTTGATTTTCAAAGGCATGATTCGGGTTAGATGTGAGCAAGTAATGTCCTCACATCGCAAATAATTCTTTATTTTGGGAAAATTTATAAGAGAATTTATATATAAAGAATAGAAGGCTCAAATTATATGCTTAAAAATTTATGGCATCCCATTCAAGGTGTAACACATTTTGGGATACTTTTCAACCTAATTATATAAGTATGTTAAAATGAATTCGGGAGTATACTTGACATGGTTTTCAAAATAAAAAAATCTTAAACTTTTTTGGTAATCATATGGGGAGGGGCGGTCAATTTAAAAAAAGGCGTAATGCTTTCTTAATCATTATCATTCTTTCGGATCTATGTTTTGCAAAGGGAAAGGTGCTCATTTTTTCTATTTGTGAAACCATATACGAGTCATGGCTAAGTCATCTTTGGTTGTATAATTTAACAAAATCAATATCCATTTTGAAAATAAAAGTGGATATTGACTAAGTTTCTTTAAAATATAGGCCAATATTTGATAAATTTTTCTTCTCTAAAATCACAAAGACAAATAAAATAAAAAATACTTTATAATATCTGTCAATATGCTTCCTAATTTTGAGAGTGAATTGGTTAATCAAATAAGGTAAAAATTCGGTTAGTTCTTCTTTACAAACATCGCATTTCGAGAAACTACAAGTATATTGAGAACTATTAGAACTTGAACTACATGAAGGGCTATCCTTTGTTTTTTTACAAAATATTATAAAAAAAATTTATTACAAACTTATCAAAATTATTTTAAATGCAATTCCTTTACATTTAAAAAAAAAGGCTTCATTTTCAGCATATATCAAATATATTGATTATATATTATTTTTCAAATATAAATTTGGTTAAGGCTGTGTCCTAAATATCAATTAATTAAATAAATTTTGAGAAAATAAATTAACATAAGCTATTTTTAATGTAAAAATAAAAACAAAACAAAACAAATTATTAGGGCATTTTTTTTATTAAGAAATGGGTAGTAAAATTTTTTTTAAAAACTTTTCCGTCAAGCATTATGATCGTATGAAAGTTTATGGTATGCTTTTGAATTTTTGGATCGACTTGACATAGTTTGTAATGACCGGGACAAATGAATTCCAATTTTTCGATATTCAGCATTCTTTCATTGGGATCGTTATTGCGATTATAAAAATTTTCTAGACCAAATATCAGAGAAGCCTTTTAGTTTTTTTTAAAACCATTATTATTAAAGATAAGAAATATTTAAATATAAATTTAATAAAATAGTCTAAATTAATAGGATATACCTGATCTTTGGCTCGATTATCATAGGTAGAACTTGGATCGGTGCTCCCCTTATTATTCGAATTATGTGAAGAACCTTTATGAGCAACTCCCAAGCATTCTTCAATAATGTAGGTGTTCGTTCCTTCTATAAATTCGCAGATCCTACCTATAACGGGCAAAATTTGTTGGCTCAAATAGTATGCTTTATCTATGGCCAGATCAGATTTGGGGTCTTCTTCTTCGCTTTTGGGCATCATTTCAATCTGCTTCATAGCATAATTGATCTCTAAATCTGAAAAATCTTTCCCGTCTTCATTGGTCACAGTACCAAAATCATATTCTTTGTGTAATGTCTCTTTTTGGTATTCAATATCGGATTCTAACTGTGGCTCGATTTTCATTCCCTTCTCTTGGATATTTGAAGTGGCTGCAACGATTTCGTTTTCAAGTTTTGGTTCATCTTTTAAAGAATCGTGGTTTATTAATTCCGGAGGGCGACAAGGCGAATGTTCAACATCTACTCCGTTTTCTGGATTATTCATAGTGGCTATAGGAACCGATTGGTTTTCGACTTTTAGCTGATTTTCCTGCGAATAATGTTTGATGATTTCTGACGATTGTCCAATATCTATCCCGTTTTCTTGAATATTCAAAGTGGTTACATGACCATCTTGGGTTTTCAGTTTTATTTCATTTTTCAGAGAATTATGTTTGATCAATTCTGAAGGGTGATAAGCCCTTTGAGTTGCTGACATAGAATTATGTTTGAAATTTTTTGAAGATTTTTCCTTTTTTATAATATTTTTTTTTTAAAACATAAATATTTGCTATTAAAAAAGATAATATTTTAGAGAGAATTTCATTGATAGAGATTTATGGAAAATCTAAGATTAAGAACCCTTCATATAAAACCTTAAATAATACGATTATTGGCTAGAATTCTTTTTTAAAATATATTAAAATGACCGAGGATATTCCAATGAGGTACTTATCGAAGGAAGTGGAAAAAATCATTATAAACAAAGTGTCAATCAATTATTAAATATTTATAATTAGTTGATTTTTTGTATTTTAAAACACAAGAAAGTTTTTATCATTTTTTTAAATATAAAATGTATTTTATCATGAAAAAGAAGAAACTATTTGTAATACGAAAAATACCTGTAAATGAATATTATTAAAGGTTTTTCTTGAATTAGAATTGAATAAAAGATTTTATGATTGGTTATTTGTATTTATTTAAATTATTCCTATAAATTATTCAAAATAAATGGGAGTTTCTTTTAAATCAATATTAATTAAAAGTAAATTATTTTTACCAAAATATGTTACGATTGACTATTATTATTCAATTATTCTAAATAAAATGAGAGTTTCTTCTAAATTCCTATAAATTATCGTTCTTTTAAAGTAATCTCTACCCGAAATCTTTTCCCTCCACTTTTCATAGAAACAGGAACTTTTAAAATAGGAGAGAAGAATGAATGTACACAAAATTTAAAAGGAAAAATAGTTTTTTTAAAAAAAATTATTAAAACGATTATGAAGAAAAAAATATTAATTTTAATCATAATCATTTAACTAAGCAAATGACATATCCAACTGTGTCACCCTGCTTGAATCTTTTATTGCTTCCGCATTTCCGGTTCAATCTAAGGGCTACTTGTACGTGAGGTAGGCTTTTGGCGTCAGGATAATCTTCGGGATTCTTGTTTAGTTGCTTATGGTTATTTTTTAAAGTAAATTTTTAATTAACGGGATTAATGTAAGGTAGTTCATGACTCATATTTAGTTTTACTATCACACAATAAATAATGACATCTTAAGGCTGGGTTCATAGTGAGATCCGATCCTACATAATTTAACAGCTGATCCATTTTAAAAATCTTATAGTGAGATCAATTATTCTTAACCAATAATTGGTAGAATTTTATCCATGGAATAGAATTAAAAATAAAAATAATCAAGAAAAATTGATCTCATAAATAGATTTTGTATAAATCGACAGCTGTTAAATCGCATGGATTCATAAAAAAATATATCTTAAATCTTAAAATGAAGGTGAAAAAAGAGATAAAAAATAAACTTTGTAAATGACGTAATCGTGAAGTGGAACTTTATCGGATTCGATATCTTTGGATAGATCCATGAGATAGGTGTGAATAGAGTCTATTATCTCTTCCCTTTGTTTGTCAGACAATATTTGATCCAAAACGTAACTGATCAATATAAAAGAAGAAAGTATCGATTTTTTTTAAAAAAAAGATTAATCAAGTCCCCTGCGAAAATATGAGGTTTCACTATGGATAATTAAATTTTTAAGTAATCAAGAGATTTAAAATTAAAAAAAATTAGACAGTCAAAATATTTTTGCATCGTAATCATAGTTTAGGTCCTGAAACAAGGAAATGTACCAAATCTAAAAACCGGAAATGAGCTAAATCTAAAAACCGGAACTTACTTCTTCTTAAAATTTAAAAGATCCGATCCTTTTTAAAAAATTTTAGGAATTAGAGTCACTAAGTAAAAATAAAAATATTATACAGAAAAGCTATTTACTCTTTATTTCCATCATTCCAAACACTCTAACTTAAAATGAAATATAAAGGAGGTTTCATAAATAAGATTAGATGCTATTTCTACCTAGGTGGTTGTTATCACTTTATGATTAATAATAATTGGCATAAGTAATACTATTTATAATAACCTTCCAGCTTTCTTAGCCAAAAAGCTCCAATCGCGCCTAACTATATCCAACCCTTTTACCTCTTTCTCGTATAAATATAAACTTTTGGCGGAATTCTCGGCATCTAAAGAAGCAGGAATTTTCGGAATCAGGGATAAATTTTTAAGCTTCAGGGCCGCGTATTTCTTTTTCTTGATGAGCAAGAGGCACTTAAAAACGCCATCTATGTCCAATTCTAGGTATTTGTAAAGTTTGTTGATCTCGGTTTTTATCTTGAATAATTCATTATATTTTTTTTTAAAAAAATGTATCATGTGATCCAGGAAGTGATAATAAATTCCTCCGAAAGATTTTAACGAAGCTCGGAACAAGGATTATAAACGGTTCAAGTTCAGATTATGAATATTTTTAAAAATGTAATTTAAATTCCTTCCAGGTACTGACTCCAAACTAGGTTGGCTTGATTAAATCAAATAGATAATTGATTTAAATAGTAAAAATTGATTTGATTTAATTTAAATTTTCGTTTTGGCCATTTTAATAATTATTTGTCTTTTGTGTTCAACAAAGACATATTATAACATTATTTTACTATATTTTGTTTACAAGTTAAAATTAATTCTAAATTTTATTATTATAAATGATTTCATTACTATAAATGATTTTATATGTTACGTTAATTCTGCTTAATACTTTTTCTTGGCATAATAAACTCCTATAAAAATTATAAAAAAATGTCTATAAGCCCTGTTTAATAAATATCTATTCTAATTTTTGTTGTTGATATTATTATTAAATATAATTTATGTAAAAAATATTAATTTAATCTAAATAATCTCGAATTTGTTAACATTAAAATTAAATTATAAACTGAGTCAGAATTATATTAAATTATACTATTATCCTAAGTAAATAAACATTAAATATCATACTGATAACATTGTGATTTAAAAAAAATCATTTTTTAGTCAATAATATTGCTAATATAATGGTCTTGCATGTCGATTTAATAATCTTGTTTTAAGAGTTATTATATTTCAATGTATTTTTTGTAATTTATATTTATTAATTATAAAATTGGATTTAAATATAAAAAAATGGCGATATAAATCAGTTATTATTAAAAAAATCATCATTTTTGCCAAATGTTCATTAGCAATAAAAATTAAACACTAGATAAAACCTTTAAAATGAATACATCGGATTGTATAATAAATAAAAATTATTTGCATTTTTGCCATATTCCCATTTCTTAAAAATGGGGTTTTGAAGTTTGGTTCTTAGAGTTGTCACCATTCTGGGATAATGGTTGGGACCGGATTTTAGGTTTAAAAAACTAAGAATATCGCAATGAAGATAAAGATATATATACATAAATTATACTTTGCCACCAAGCTTCATAACCCTGGGAAGGTTAGAATCGTCTGACCCATCCAAAAAGGTATTTATCATCACACTATCCGTATCCCCGTATATTACGTCTATTTTATAACTGAAATTTGTAGATGACTTAGAGGAAGATTTCTCGTTGCCTTTAGCAGAGGAATAAATTTCTAAATCGCTTTGGGCGAAAGTCAGGGAATTACAAATGGTTCTAGTTTTTCCCAAAATTTCTCTACCTTTCCTGGTTATGAAGGCCGCCAGATGTTTAGCATAAAATCTAGATTTTTGGAAACCCAAGCAACCATAAATACTATTAGCGGTCAGTTTTAAAGCCTTTTGTCGAATATCGTACTGTCTTAATTGCAAGGCTCTTCGTATGGATTTGGCTGGCTGATAAATTATATTTATTTTTTTTTAAACTATTCAAATTTCGTTCACATTAATTTATGAAATATAAATATTCCCATTTATTAGAAAAAATAATTAAGATATTTACAAAATTTTCCCTAGCCATCCTCACTCAATGTGATTTTTTTTAAAATTTATGGATATTTAAAAATTAGTATTTTATTCATAGGTCACAACCGAAATTATGGATAAGATGAATCTTTAATATTAAGTTTTTTATTTGGCAAGAAAGGGCGTTTAAGCAGATACAATTACTATTCCAATTCAGTGAAAAATAATTTTTACCGTATCATTGGACGAATTCCTGCTAAGATCACTGATGAGTTTTTTTATTTGCCTTCTCCTCTCGACTAGCGTCCCTATCTCAATAGGCAAAACGCCCAAGATATTTTTATTGGATTCCTTTGACTTGTTATCGGAATCCTGCTGTATTTTTTTTTAAATAATAAGGTATTGTAGATTAGTTAAAATTTAAATTGAAAAAAAATTCTATTGTGACAAATATATTCAGAATTATCAACATAAATCTTACTTTATATAAAGCGGAATGGTATATCGAGTTATTTTAAATAGTATCCGAAACAGAATTATACCTCAGAAAGACATTCTTTCAAAGCTGGGTGTATGCTGAAAGGACCCGAACCATTATTATCGTCATTCACTATGGGAGCCTCATCTTCAGTCATATTATTAATGCCATCACCATTTTGGGTCAATGTTTGAGGTGTGATAGTGGTGAAGCAGACATTGTATTCTTGGATTATGGAAGGGTAGAGACTGTTGAAATCCAACAAAAGAATGTACTTGTCGTAAAACCCTTTATTTTTAAATAATTTCAGAAATAGACAAATAAGAAGAAAAAAGGAGTAACCTGTTTTAGGTTCAAATACTAAGCCTCCAGCATATGAAGACAAGTTTTTCTTGTTAGGAATTTTAGCGGCTTTTAACATGGTTTCATCGAAAGTTGGGTCATCATCATCCTCTAACATTTTGGATACATCTACCAAAATAAAATGTTTTATATAAATTGAATGGCCAAAAAAAAAGGTTACCATGTTAAGGGTTGTAACTAATTTAAAAAAATTATTTAATCAAAATATACTAATTATTTTTAATAAGGAATAGTTCATTTTCATCATTATTTATAATAATATTGGTGTATTTAAAATTTATCCATTCCCAATAAATATTTTACCGGTAATTTTATTTTAATAAATTATTCGATATCGGCAAAATTGAATCAGTACCAAAAAAAAGGTGAGAAAATAAATCAAAAAATCATGAATTATGCTAACTTATGAAATAATAATTGTTATACATGAATACAATAAAACCCTGAATTTAGTTATTACATTTTAGAAATTTCTAGTTCCTAAAAATCTAATTATTAAAATATTCCCAATGCTAATCTTTTTCTCACGTGTAACGTAAAAATATTTGGCTCCTTTTGAGGAAAATCGATGTTATACTGAAAGGTTAATTTTTTTTTAATTACCAAAGTCATCCAATTCATTTTCGGAATCGACTGTTTCCATTATAGAGATATCTTTGATGCTGACTTCTTTACTAAATGATTTACCGGGGTTTTTGGTTCTTGTTTTACGTTTTCGGGATGAAGTAGTCTTTTTAAAAGATTTTTTCAATATATATAAATAAAATAGAATATAGAGCTGTTCATTCGTCAGAAGATGATTTTTCTATACCATTTCCTCTCTCGCCTTCCGATAATAAGAAGAAATAAAAAATAAGAGATATCATTCAGGAAGCAAAGATTTTTGGAAGGTTTTGGATGACGTTTTGTTTCAAACATGATATTGAGCTAAAAAATATTTTTTAATAATCGATTCCTTATCCCGACATTTGAGCAGTTCTTGTTATAAATAATAAGATTTATCTGCACCCACCTTCATAGTAACCTTAAACTCTTCGGGGGAGGAAATATCCTATTTTTTTCTCTCTTAACTTGAAATTATATCTTGAGACAACACAATCCACATTTTTTAAAAGATTCTACTAGTAGCATTTAAGACATCAGGATCTCATAACCTTCTTCAACTACATAATTCCTTTTTTTTGTAAAATCAAATGCATGATAAATTTTTTTGACCAAGGCATAATTTAGTATAAAATTAATTTTACTAAGTATAAAATCATAATGACAACTACATTATACATTATGATTTTTACAATTTTTTTAAAAAATTTTATCATAAAAACTTCTTTTTCAGGGCGAGTTTCCACATTACTAAAAATATCGAGAGGTTCTGGTCCCAAATAGCCTTTTCTATGAAACGCGTGTAGCAATAAGTAAGAATTTCTTTCGGACCTTCCCATAGTGAGCGTTCTTGACAACGAATTACCGGCTATGACGGTCAACTGATAAGCTAACTGCAAGGCGTTCATGTTTTTGCAGACATCGTTTATGGTAAGCGTCCAAGTTAGAAGGTCGATCATGGAGTGAATCAATGATAGAGGATTAGAGTAAATCGCATTAGTGGCTAAGGTGGGGACATCGTCTATAAATATAGTTTTTTTTATAAATAACAAATTTTTATTATTTTTTTGAAAGAGATTCGGATTTTATCAAAATCAAATTCATAAATTTGCGAAGCTTGTTTTAATATAATGGTAGATGCCATTCCTAGGAATAATATACCAATCGTAAAACATCCTAGACTCCACTACTTCAAGTAAATGACGCTGCCCCTTGATGGCGTTATCTAAAAGGATATCCCCTAGATATAAATAATACAATTGATTAGTTCCACTACCCCCACCCCCTGTACTTGCTGACCAAAATTATCAAAACCCTCATAAAAAGGCGATTTCATGTCAATTTCTCAAAAAAAAGTTAAACCTTTATCATCGCATTCTTCGCTATTAAAGGTATTATACACTATTCGGCTTGGGGTTTCAAGATTACCATCGTGAGACAAAAATTGGGGAAACTTAAGACCCAGAGCTTTACACATATCGCTTAAGCTGTATGAATCGCATTTGAGATGTTCTTTCCCATTTTTGAGGGCATCACAAACCAGTCTGCCGCAGGCTAAATGCTTGTCAGCTGATCCTGAATGAAACTAATTTCCAATTTTTGTTAGTTTGATTAAGAAAAAAATACAAAATAATCAATAGGAGTAAAGAAGGCCACCTTTCGTGAAAATCAAGAGGTCAAAACTAGAGAAGTAATTAAAATAGTGGATGAACTTTAGATGGATGTCGTCTAGAAACTACGATAAATATAATTATTTTAGTAAAATAACCGATATTATTTTATTAAAACCGATCTGGTTTTAGACTTTTTTTAAAATATCGATTATCGGACATTATTAAATTTTCCGATCAGATCCGATAAAATGGCGCCTTAATTTAAATTTTTTTATTAATATTTAAGAAAATATATTTATATAAGTTAAGAACATTGAAATTTTTTAAATTAATTATTTAAGAATATTTATGAAATTTAAAAATGTAACAACTTATAATGATTAGACTAGATGAGATTCTACTTTATATACAGATAGAAAGATTTTTGGAACAACCAAAAAATGATTACAACGATTTTAAAATTATAAATAAATAATTTATCAATATTTATTTTACTTTTTTACATTGAATTGATGAATAATTGAATAGCCAAAATGATAAGCAAATTAAATTTTGATAATAGTACATTTTAAATGTCTTATGTTATGGTTATAATCATAATCATAAAAATATATTTAGATTAGTGATATCGGATCGGCCTCCAAAAAATGGTATAAATACACCCCCCCCCCTTAATAATTAAAGATAAAAGTTGTTAAATAATGCCAAAGAGTGAGAAGTTTCGTATTAAGTGGTGAATGTGACAACAACACAAATAGCATGACATTAAGTAACATAGTAACTGACCTGTCGTAAGTAGGATATCATAAAAAAACTTCAGTGAGCATTTATTCACAAAATTTTCGAAAATTAAGAAAAATATATGATTTTCAATCACAAGATTTGGAATTCTGAAATAAAATTTGATTAAAAATCTTGTGTAATCATTTTCAAAAAAAATATTAAAAAAAATCTCTTTTTTTCTCTATAGATACCAAATCTTTAAGATTTTTAAAAGCTTATGAAACCTTGATCGTAAGCGATATTGAACAATATTAAATATTTTTTAAAATGAAATCTGTTGCTACTCTAAAATTAATTTTATCGTATCGTTACATGCAAAAATGAAGTAAAGATGTTGGAGAGTATGCAGCCATTTTCCCCAAAATTTGTCAACAATATTTAGAAGAGTAGTAAGGAAATATTAATTTTACAAATATTAATCATTTAATATGTTTTTAAAAGGCAATAGATAAGATCATATTGGATTAAAAATTTTTGAATTTAAGGTTCAATGTTTATAAAAAATATACTATCTGAAAGATTTAAGAAAATATATATTAGAGGAAGATACAGCCGATTTAAGTAAGGAATGATTCAAGATAATTAGCATAAAAACTTGACCTATCTTAAAATAAATTATAATGAAATAGCCTATAATTAGACAGAAATTTAAATAATTTAAAACAAATATTTTTAATAGTTTAAAAACCACATGATACTTATAGGTGTTTATTTATGGGCATTAGTAGTTTTCAATCGATAATAAGTAGATAGAACTTTTTTTTTCAAAAGGGACGGATGAGGACAAAAATGGGTAAGGATATAGTTTAAAATTTTTTAAGGTTCTGAATTGGTTGCTTACTCATAAGAATGTCAGAGATAGAGTTAGTTTGCTAAATCACATATTGTATAACTATAAAAACAGCTGGCCAAGTTTTTATCCTAAAAAAATTGTCTCAAATTTTAAAACTGAGGCTTAACTTAGAGGGATTAAGTCAAATTTTTAAGCTCAAATCTTGGTTAAATCTTATTATAGTTAGCCAAAATTATTATTGTTTAGGAAAATATATTTTAGAGTAAATGGGGGAAAAGAACCCAGTTTAGAACCTGGACTTAAAAGGGCTTTCAATCAGAATATTTTTATATAGGGGGTGATTCCAGTTATAGTAAAAACTTCAGGAAGAGATGCCGGCGCTTTTATACCTGACAAGGTTTCAGGGGTTCTGCTTCCCGCCCTAAGAATCGTTAAATTTTATATATTTATACACGCTTAAATTTTTTATATAGGAAAAGTAATTTTGACAATTAAAACAAAACCTTAGGAATATTGGTTCGCTTAAGTCTCCCAATTTTTGACCAATTAGGAATCTTGAAAGTTTGACATGCTTTAAGCAAAAGAGGCAAATCCATGTTCAACATATCGTAGCCTACCAGGACATCTGGATCCATTCTATACAACTTGGAGAGAATATAGTAGTGAATTGTTATAACTAACATTATAACCTGTCGTTAATGGTAATGTAAAAGTTACTTCAAAAAATAACACGTTACATTTGATAAAAGGAGTGAGTTACTGTTACTTAGAAAAAAGGAAAGATGTTACTAGCTATTCAAAAAAAGTAACGCATTACTCGTGTCGTTATTTATAAAAAAATTTATATTTGCCCCAGATAATAAAAACAAAATTATATAAAAACAATATATTATAAGATAAGTTCTTTTTGTTATAATAATCTTGTTATTCATTTTTAACAAAATTTAATTTTCTAAACTTTAATCAGATAAACAAGAACGCTTAATATTCAACAGCTTTCTCTGTGCTAAACACACGTTCCACTGGTGCATGATGAGAAGGTTGTATTATATCAAATAAATAAAAAATTTAATTGGGGAAATTTATTAAAAATATTTAAAGAATGAACAATATTTTCAGAAAAACTTATTAGATCATCTTCACAAGAATTTTCATTCAGATTCTTATCAAATTTGTTTTTATATTTATCAGAATTTAATCTGAATTCATATTTTACCTTCATGTTTTTTAGATTCGAGCTGCTGAACACCGAGTTTGAAATATTCAAATGAAAGCACAATCTACACTTACAAAGTATAGACTAAGTTCCCTTAATCTTCTTTATTTTTGTAAAAAATATTTTTTAATGGGGTCAGGGCCAGGGTTTTGAACCGAACACAGAGCAGAAAGCCCAAGTTTTTTTAAAAAAATTTGGAGCTGGGTTTAATCGAGTTCAATGTATTTTACATTTAAAATCATATATTATGATATTTGTATAATTGTAAATGCAAATATTAATAATTTAAAAGAGATTTTTTAGTATTTTCAATTTATTTCATTCTACAAATAATAGAATAGAAAGGATGCGTGCAACCTTTTTATTCTTCCCGCCAATAAAAAATTTCTATTTTTATCATCAGAAATTGATCGAAAATAGGTAAATATTATTTTCAACTGTAATTTATATTTTATAAAAATAAAAGCATTCTATTATAAAATGTACAATAAATTTTAGTTGTCACTTAGTTATATAATTTTTATTTATCCATATTGAGCCATATCTAAATAAGGTTGCAAAGTGTTTTGAAAATTACTTTAACGAGGGTTGGATAAGGTAATTTTGAAAATAAATTAAATAAAAATATATGATAACACTAATTTGACTAGAAATTTTAACAGTGCAAGAGATTGTTTTAAAAAATATTCAAACCTGGCAGATTTATAAAGGATCATAAAAATCATGATCTAGGTAGGAAAAATAATTTATTTTAATATTTATGTTTTATATTATCTAGATAAAAACACATTTATGATCTTGACCAAGCAAAGGAAACTATCTCCGATCAAAAAGCAGATAGTTGTGATTGTTCTTATCAATCCAGATTTAACTTGAATTATGTATAATATATGTGAGTATGATGTACTCATTTCTTGAAATGAAGATGATTTAACACTGCCCTGGCCCAAGTTATAAAATATTTTTTACACCAATTAAGAAAGTTAAAAGCATTAAGTCTACACTTTAAGGCGCACAAATCTAAAAAAACATATCAAGGTAAAAAAAAATGGATTTAGATCAAACTCTGATAAAGATTTTTTTTAAAAAAATTAATTTTGGAAATAACGATAATTCTTTAAATATTTTTGACAAATTCTTCCAATTAAAACTTTTATTTATTAAATCTGATATAACTCTCCCTCTCTCTGCGCCAATTTAACATGTATTTAGCAGAGCTAAAGCTGCTTTGGGCATTAAGCGTTCTTGTTCGTCTGATCTAAATGTTAAAAATCAATTGTTTGTTAGAAATACATAAAAACTTAAAATAAAAAGAGAGTATCTTTAATATATTGTTATAAATATAATTTTATTTTTATTTTATCTATGCTGAAAAAAATAATATTACTTATTTTTTAAGTAACGAGTTCCTTTTTTTTCAATAACAGGTAACATGCCAACGTTTACAGCACTAGATTATATATATATTTTTTTAAATAAATACTCACTTTAGCTAGAAATAGGGATATGAGAGCTCTTTGAGAAGGCATAACGTCAATCTTAACGCCCGGCGGTATTTTCAAATCGTTCCGGTTGTCGTTGCTTGCGTTTTGCTTATGAGATTTCGAGAGAACATCGGCTAAAACACGCTTGAAATCAGAAGGAAATATTGAATCGGACGGTTTAGTGATCATAACAAAATGCTCCGGTTTGTTTAAATGGTGGTTGGCGTTGGTAATTGAGAAATCACCTATTTTTTTAAAATTGTTATCGAGTTATATTTAGCGTCATTTTTAAATATAATATATAGTATCAATTTATATATGACTACGAGTCATGCATGTCAATTTCATTCATGCATGTGTGCCAGAATTCTAATGATTTTCTACATTTCTAAATTTGTTTCTTATAAATCAATTTGATATTTATTTCGGTCGTTTTTGATTTTTTTATTTGGTTCCTATTTGTTATGGTAACTTCTATCTGATTAGAGGTCTTCAAAATCCCAACCCAATATTTTTCAGGTTGTGCGTCGGGTCTGCAAATATATTTGTTACAATTTTGACGTGATATCAATGAATCACAAAATTGCTAAAAAATATATAGAGCTCAAAATTTCTTATTGAATTTCACAAATGTTTTTCTTAATATCTAAGACGATTTTCTAAACAAGCGTTTCGTATATTTTTCTGAGCAATTCATTTTTTTTAATTTGAGCGTTTTAGCTTTATACCTGAGAAATTAGTTTTATCTAGATAATTAGGTTTTCTGAAGCATTTTTTTTTTATGAGCATGAGCGATTAAATAGGAACAAAAAATTTTCAATTCTTGCAGGTAACTATTTTTTTTTTAATAAATAGGTAACCTTGCTATCAAAAATAATTAAATTATAATTTGTTTAACATTAAAAAAACAAACAAAACTCAGATAAAATTAATCCCCAAATCTGAGCTATTTTTTCTTAGAGTAAACATTTGGGCTAAGTTGATGATTTTAGCCAAAATACTCAGATCTGACTTCTCGGCTAAAAATGGGTTGATATACCATAACTAAGCGAGTTTCCCATTTCCCATTAAAATTTTTTTGCAGAGAACTCAATTCCTACGAGGATTGCTTCCTAAGATAGAATAAGTTAAGCACAAAAAATATATTTCAAGAAATGTGATACGCACTATTTTTTGTTTTAATTGTGAAAATTGAAAAATGATTATACGTCTTGGCGCGATTTCCCTATTATAATAATAAAATATTATATCTGTCAAATTGGTAGGCTGCGGTTATTCTACGTGGTTTAATTATGTAATGAAATCAATAGATAAATAGATTCATCTGATTATTAGAAACCTGGTAATAGTAAGGATGGAAAAGTAAAAAATAAAGAGTTTACAAACGACTTGCAAAAGGATAAGAATACTTTAGATATTAATTTAGTAAAAAAAAGGCAACAATTTACAGCAAGAATCTTTTTAAAATAATTTTAAAGATGATAATGTACACATCTCAATATTAGACTCATAAACTTATAACTAAAATCTTTATACAAAACTAGAGTACAATGATCATCTATATGATGTAGCCAATTATTTGGAAAAGATAATATTAGCCTAGAAGAAAGAAATATACTTCTTAAAAAGGTATTAAAGATACATATGATAAATATTTTATTTAATTTTAGTATATTCCACCCCTCAATTTTCAATATCCAGAAACTTTTTGTGTTAATCGAAAGTTAAAATTTCAAAACAGCTTTTTTGCTAGATGGTTATGGCTAGCATACTCTATCCAAGACAATGGAGTTTATTTGAAGATATTTGTATTGTTTGGCCGCTGACAAAAATTTAGTTAAGTTTAACAGTCTTGTTAAGACTCCATTCAACAAGTACAAAGATGCTGGAGAAATCTTTGACAATCATCAAAAATCTAATTATCACAAAAGCTGTGAACTGATGATTTTTCATAAGAATTAATTCAAAGTGAGGATATGATTCCCATTTCATCACATATTGATAAAAATAGGATTAAAATAGCACAAGAAAATAGATGTAAAATTAACTATTGAGGCCACTCTATATTGTGGATTGCAGGGCCTAGCATTACATAGCCACTTGACAGGAAGCTCAGTAATAATGTAATGAAGGTAATTTTCGTGGCCTTGTAAAATTTAAAGCATTAGGTGGTTCTGCATTAATGGAGAGCCTTAATAGCAGCAATAAAAATGCAACATATCTTAGCCCCAGGTTTCAAAATAAATTAAATGATATTTGTATTAATATCATTTTAGAAAAATTGATTACTGAAATCTATTCTGCCCCATGCTTCGCAATTTTGGCAGATGAGACCACAGACATTGCTGGCATTTAGCAGATGTCATTGTGTGCACGATTCAGAGATACTCAAAATAACATTATCAAGGAAGTGTTTCTTTAATTTATTCCTGTTTCAATCATGACTGGGTCTACCTTAGTGGATGTAATATTTGAAAATCTTAAAAAATTCAAAGTAATATTTAATCTTATTATAAAATTATTTTTTTTCAAAAATATAGCTATAAATTTGATACGTGGGCTAGGGTATGATGGAGCTCGGGCAATGAGTGGGCAATTCAATGGGCTTCAGTCATTTATAAAAAAAATGTTTAACAGCTATATATGTCCCCTGTGCTGCTCATTCGCTCAACTTGGCAATATCTAATTCATGTTCGTACCATTGATAATCAAATTTCTTAGGTATAATTTTATTTATTTCAGTAAGAGCATTAATAATAGGGTTTTCTAACTCCATAAAAGCTGTATTTGCTTGATCGCGAAAACTCCCGTTGGAAAAGCTTTTTGCAATTTCTTTCTCCTTGTTGGACAAGAAGTTTCAGAAATAATTGTTTAAAATATTTTGTCACTTGGGGTATCTAAACATCTCATAAATGCTAGATATATTGCCTGATATAAATATAAAAAATTTAATTAAAATAAATAAAATTATACCCAAGCAATTTAATTATCAATGGTAAGAACAATAATTAGATATTGCCAAGTTGAGCGAATGAGCAGCACAGTGGACATATATAGCTGTTGAACTTTTTTTTTATAAATGCCTGAAGCCCATTGAACTGCATCATCAATCAGATGATGATAGTTACATACTGAAATTAGAAGACTACTATTATATGCTAAAGGTTTACTAAAACATGTTCTATTTATATAAAAATACCATGTGTCTAGATTTGAAGACTATTGCAATTTTTAGACTGAAGAAACGAGCCGAAAGGAAAATATTCTCTCTTTATAAATTTTAAGATGGCACTAGGAATTGTTGAATAATAATCGATAACAGATTTGTAAATATTTCTAGTTCAAATTGCGTCAGCATCCATTCTGCTTTAAGGCAATACTTCTAATCAAATAGACTACTTCTAACTGAAAATATAAATAATGGGTGTATTTGAATACTTCACCAATTTCCATATGCGAGAAAACTTCAATAGTTATTTCTCCCGAGAAAGATGGAAACTAATATAATCTTAGAAAATAAATCAAAATACTTTATTTCTAAACTAAGTATATTTTAATTTTTATAATCCTTGTATTAGTAAAATTTTATGCATCTTTTTATGCATTAATTATTTGCATAGTATATTACGGAATATTGTAAGAAGTTAATTTATGTATGCAACAAATTGTAGATATATATTTTTTTTAAACTTTCGTCTCCAAAAGTCAAATTGATGCCGCGTTCCAAAGTTCCGCTTATCATCGTCAATTCGTTCTGCTTCTTGGTCGGATTATACATGGTTTGGAAGCTAAGAGAAAGAGTACTCAGGAGAGGAATAGCAGGAATTTGCGTTTTTTTCTTAGAATCTTTTTTTATGAATAAAATTAAATTTCGATTTTTTAAAATTACATATCAAATACTGGGTAATAACCGAAAATGATAAGAATATATTTTCATGTTTTTCCTTTAGAAAAAAAAAGTTGAGTATAATATGAACCTTGGTCCGATCCCGTAAAAGTATATATGAAATCGGGATTATCGATTTTGAATTCCAATTTGCACCAAGTACTGAACATATTATTACGTTTATTCTGAATGTTTAGGTAGGCTTCTTCTGATACATCTATCCGAAGCCAGGAGGGGCCCATAATATCTTTATCCAATAGGAACCATTCTAAACACGATGTTTTTGTACCTTTTTTTGTAAAAAAAAATTAGTTAATTAATGTTTGTTTTTAAAAACATTTATACCCAAAATTAAATCTTAAATTTCAACCATTCCCTTTTTTTTAAATATTGTAATAGCGCAAACTAATTGAGCGTTTTCTAGAAAAAAAAGCAAACCAGTTTGCGTTTTTATAAAATGTTTATAAACGCTGATCAATTTGCATGATACGATTAGCATTGTTTGAGTTTTACATAACTAAACGTTAAACTTTTTATTTTTATTCTTTACTTAAAATTTTTCTTGATCCTTTTATTCACTCACTCTTTTCTTTTTTTTTAAATTTTTTTTATAAAGCCATCAAAATATTATAACGAGAATAAAAGGAGGAAAAAAACCTAAAATTCTTTTGAAATATTTTCCGTTAGGTATGTAAGATGGCAAAATCGGATATTGAGAATCATATTTGATTTCGAGATAATCTGAAACGAAGGGAACATTGGCATCATTTTGCTGATGTTATTATTAAATTTAAATATAATATTTGTATTATGATTTATTATATAATAATCGTAATAGTTTATCTTTATATATTTTCTCTCTCTCGTGATTATTTATTAATAAATAACTAACCATTTGCTAATATTATCAAATTACAAACCCTTCATAAAAATTGCCATATAAAATGTTTATTTTACAGCTATAATTTTATCATTTTTTTCTTCTTAAAACGCATTATATAAAAACTTGTTAATTGATAAATTAATAAAGCAAAAATCTCAAAAAAGAAATTGATTTTATTTAAATTTGATTTTTTTTTAGAAAAAGTGTTAACTTCGGAATGGTTAAAGGCGTATTTCTTCCTTACTTTCCTGGACATAAATTTCTTGATTTTAAACTTTTCAGCGGTTGTTTCATTGAATTCCGTATACATATCTAATACTTCAACCTTTCAAGTAATTTATGAGAATCATAAAACATTATTTTTTAAAAAAAATTATTAGAAAGTCAAACATCAATTGTAAAAAAAAATGTCGCAAATCTATAAAAACCAATTATTTTTATTTCCATATAATTTTCAATTGTATATCATCCCTCTTTTCTCTTTATTTTTCTCTTTTTAAAATAAACTTTCGTAGAAATTATGGAATATTAAAATTTAAGGAGAAAAAAAGCAGATTAAAAAAAAGTAAAATATTAAATATGAATAAACTTTATCATTAACAGGTAATAGATAAACTGTCCGGGGTATATTCTTGACTATAACGCAGCAACTAACATATTCTTTTATTTCTTTCTCATACACCTTGCCAAAGATGTAGAGCGTTCCTTAAAAAAAATAAAGTTAAATTACGGATACAATAATAGCAAAATAACGTATTATTTATTAATGTAAACGGCACGATTTTAGCCGATTTTTAAAAACGGCTAATTGAATATTTTAATCAGAAAAATATTATCCGCCTGAAGATTTTACACGTGATGGCCCAAAGGTTTTAACATTTATTAATAAAATTTAGAGGCTTAGGCAATATTTTTCTGGCTAAAACATAGAGATAGCCATTTTTAAAAATCGCCTCTAATAGAGCCATTTAACAATACTCAATTTAGTATATAATAAAATAATCTGATGAAAGTTGTATATATCTATAGAAGGGAACAAATCGTATATGAATTGGTAAAAATTTGTTTTTAATCTGGTGGAATTAATGATTTAACTTATGATCAAAATTTTGATAAATTTTTGAGATTATAATTATTATAAGATGTACATATCTAAATACTATGACCATATATCTATAAAAAATATGACAATATTTAGATTTAAGTCAGCAGGCAGTGTCCTGGTGGGCTTAATTTGGATACTTAATTGCCTTTTTAATATAAGTTATAAAGTTTTTGAACTTGGTCTTACTATTTTGGTTTGTTATAAGTATTTAGTGGCATTGTTATTTTTCGTATTTAATTCTCTTTTTTTTTTGTTTTTTTTGGTTATGTTTTTGTTATTTTTTTACAAAAAAATTTCTTTTGCTTTTTTGACAATTTAGCCTATACTAAGCCCGCTAACTAGTTATAAACCGACCGGACAAGACCGCAATAACCAGTGTATGGATAAAGTTAGAACGGCAAATTCCGATCGATATTCAACTTTTATTTTTAGGTGTATTAGTAAAATTAATCGAACCAAAAAAATTTATATAACGTGATTTACTATGAAAATAACCAATCAATTTATCCATTTAATATTTTTTTAGCTTAACAAAAAAAAATCGAGCAATCTATTAACAAAAAATTACCAGGGTTATTGTGAGTATCTTCGTATGCGTCAAACCAATATATGAGGAAATACCGCTTGTCAACGAGGTCCTCGCCCTGAAACTCCGTTTTCAAGGGAAGTTTTAAGCAACTCACATTTGGATTGCCATTATTTTCTTTACAGTCACCGTTTTCCATCTTCTGCTCATTTTTATTAGTAGTCTTATTATAGACATAATTTCCTGGAGGATGGTTAGAGAGTTGTCCGATCTCAGGAGATGTTTCGTTCGGAATCAAAATATTTCCTGAATTTTTCCCTTGTTTGATCACCGATGTGCTAGAAATATTTCTAATATCATTTAGTTGTAATGGCTTCGTATCTGCATGCGTCCCTCTTATTGTTATTTATGATGATTTAAAAAACAAAATTATGGGAAAGAGAAACTGGAATTTTAGAATGCTCTATTATTATCCCCGAATTTATCATTATACAGGTAATAGGACCTACCCCAATTAAAAGTTGATATCGGATTGGCGCCAGTATTAGCTTTCTAAAAAATATAGATGCCTGACAACATCCTTTAGTGTTGTTAAACGGCTCGTTTTGAGCCGATTTTTAAAAACCGCTAACTCAATATTTTATCCAGAAAAATATTACCCAAGTCTGAAGATTTTGCTCATAGAAGTAACAAAGGTTTAGACATATATTATAAAAATATCGAGGTTTAGGTTATATTTTCCTGGCTAAAATATTGCAAAATTAGATTTAAATAGATAATTTTTCTTAAATTTGTCAAGTTTAGTCAAATATTATGTGTTTTTTTAATAAATCCTAAATAACATCCATATCACAGTACAATCATATTTCACCTCATCTTATTTTTTATAAAAATAATTACGTCATTTGAAAGGAAAAAAAATATGGGCACAAGTAGCGATTTTTTTAAGTCCATCATAATAATTTTAAAACTAAAGATTAGACCTATACTCTGCCATTTTTATGGGCCCGCAGGTTTCTGATATTCTGTAAATATAAAAAATTTATATATATACTCTTGTTTGTTGTTCACATACCACGCATCGTTACTAAAATCTTCGGAAAACGCGCTAACACTATTTTCTTCCTGTGGATCGTGATGTGGTGGATCCTGATGTCTCTGTGAAACTTGATGGTTATTTACGGCTATTCGATTCTTTTGCTTGGCGTGGGAAAGATATTTACAATCTAGGGGTTAAATTATGACAATTTATTATATAAATGATTATAAATTGATATCAAAATATGTTAAATTTTGTCAAAAGTAACACTTAAAAATAAAATATAATCATTTTATGCAGTATTTTCGCCTAATATCGTATAGACAATCTTGAGCAGACAAGTTATATTCACGGATGTTCAAAGTTCAAAAAATTAAGATTGCTCTTGTTCTAAGTCCCTGATTCGTTTTTTAATAAAAAAAAAACTTTCCCAGTAAATTTGATATAAAAAAATAAGATTATCAACAACATATTTCCAACAAACTATCTGAAATGCAGAAATATTTTATATTTTTTTAATTAATTATGAAACGAGCACATCATTGTGGTTTGAGTATTTGATTACTACTTAGTACAATTAAGTCGATATATATATAAGCGCCAGTTAGGGTAATACATTGGCTATCATCGAAATCAAAAAATGTATTAATTTTTGTTTTAAAAAAGTATATATATATAATTTATTTTATAAAAATATTAGTCACGCTGATGCATTCATATTTTTGATCATTTAAATTGAAATTAAATGATTGATACGCTTTGGAGCCGAAGTTTCAAATAATGGCGGCGGTTTTATAAAAAAAATTTTATCGCCGCCGCCTAATAATTTAACGGCCAACGCGACATGCTATTTATTTAAAAAAATTTTTAATGAATTTAATTTATAATATGTATTACATTTTTTTACAATATATTTAGGCACTCATGGTTCTAACATTGTTAATATAGTTATTCATTTCTTAAATTATTTTCTGTTTCACTTCTATTTCAATTTATCTATTTTCTCATTCTCAGAAATAGACTTAGGAATTGCACTTTTATTCAGATCTGAGTCACATAACAACACATTAGAATATTCTATTAGTTTTTATAAAACAAATTAAAATATAAAATTGAAATGCAAGAAAAAAAATATAAAATAAGAAATATAATAAATTAGAAGTCAGATATAGTAAAATTATAATTGTCATGAATAAATAGTATTCTAACAATATAAGTGGGATATAAAGAAGTCCTTTTTGCATTAAGTATTAATCCAGCGACCGGAAAAATTCTTCACCTGGGTATACTGGTTGCAGGTATACAAGAATTTTCCTAGCTAAATTAGCAAGACTATGCTAGTCCCTTTTTTCCAAAACATTTGTGCATCCTTTTCTACTATTCTACGATGGCTGAGTAAAATATGGCAAACTTGCTCTATATTGCTAATGTTGTTATAATCGTTATTACTTGGAAGAGAATGTTATGAGCTATTTTAGCTATATGAACTTGATGTCTGCCATTATCTTCAACTTGAATCTCACTTTTCTAAAATGCTTTCAATGTTTTAAATGTCTAATTAAAAATTGCAATGATGTCGTAGAATATGAATTTAAATATTCTGAAACAATTTTAAGATTTCGAAATCTCGGATCAAGTAATGTCGCTAATATTTAAGGTTTAAAAAATAGTTTTATTAATAAAAATATAAAATAAATTACTTGAAGTTCGGTAATAAGAACCTATGGTCAAGCTTTTTTATGCATATTTTATTTTAGGCAAATCATAGCTGAATAATCAGACTTATTGATTTTAAAAGTGTTTCTTTTCACTGCGAAATAATAATCCTAATTTAGAGGAAAGAAATGCTGATTCTCTGCAAGGATTTAATAATGTATAAAGTTAATAACCATTCGTAATTAAAAAGTTATATAAGGATTGTTCTCCTATTTAATTTAGAACATTATTTATAGAAATCTTAACATTATTGATATTTTTTAGCATAATTAATAGTTTTTCGTATTAATTAATCAGGTGCAATGTAATTTATATTATCAGCATCCCCAAAGATATCAAAATGTTCCTCAAGGTATGGATCATAATCATCAATATCCAAAAATATGGTATGTCTCATAAATTGTATGCAGAGATTTGTGACGCTCATCTTCAATTTCACATTCCAAATCAGCTACTTGATATCTGAGGGCTGAAGAAATGATATAGCTTATTATTTTAATCAAAATATTAATTCTAGTAACCTTTTTTATACCATCAACTGTAACTCTGAAGCTTTTTTTTGACATTAGCACCAGTCACCAGTATCATTTACCATCTGTGTTTTTTAAATGGAATTCCTCTTCTATACTATCGATCTCAGATATAATGATTTTACCAGTTGCGTTTGCGTCACCTTTCTAGTTGTTAGGGTATAATAATTTAAATAAAATTTTTCATGTGATATAATTTCGACGCTTGAAATGATCTGTCCATAAACCAAAAGTGATAGAAGAGAATTTTAAAGAATCTATCAAAAATGCGTCTTTATAGATTAATAATAATTATCTAGTATACACTCCGAATAATGGTTGTCCTATCAAGCAATTCTAATGAGGAATCAAATATCCCACTTTTTTATTTAATAATCATTATATTTAACAATCAGTTATTACTTTAATGTTTATAAAATATTATGGCATTAAATCTAAACTTTATCAAAACATAATTTCGCCCTATTAGATTTTATATTTCATTTATACATTAAAAATATATTTAAAAAACTTTAAAATAATTAGAGCTGAAATGAAAAAAATTGAACTTTTAAAATAAAGTTATATATAATTAATTTAATAAATCAGTTATATATTAAATAGATCTCAAAAAAAAGCAATTAGAGATTACAATAGACTAACTAGGGTGGTTTAAAACGTGTAAGTCCATAAATATGATATGAATGAATGTAAATGATATACACTATTTTATCATATGCCTATAGAATACAAAATGTTAATATTCAAATTTAAATAATAATAATTTAATATATAAATATAATTAAATAGCATTATAAATATACACGCCGTGCCGTCGCCATAAAAAAAAGGCGGCGAGCCTGGCCGCGTCGCACATCTCAATTCGGTCGCACTTTCTGCGTGAATAGAATTGCCGGCACAGGTCTAAACTAAAGTTAAAAAATTTTTTTTTAATACTTAGGAATTAATTATTTCTTATAGGATCTGGTACTAAACCCGGACTAGACCGGATACCGTTAAAAAATTTGACAAGTGATTATAAAAAATTTTTTTTTAAATAGCCTAAAATATTGTTTAAATTTTTCCCTTTCTTCCATCGTTCATGTTTACGTTATAAATAATTTGAAACATAAAATATGATATACAAAAATGTAAAAAATATTTAATGATAGCTAACAAATGATTAGAGGTGAGGTGATATTTTAAAAATTGATTATTAACAATTGTTTAAAACTAGAGTAAAAATCTTCGAAATATTTGAGCAAAAAAAAATTTTTTTTTGAAGTTATATTTTTTGTAATTTAAATGCATAAAAAATCTTTCAAAATAAAATGAAAAACAAGTTTTTTTCAAACTCTGTTTAAAACACCGACCAATAAAAGGTAAAATGTATTAAGAATTCGAAAAATTTTAAATAAAGCTCAAACAAATACATCTTTTTATCTCCAAAATTATAAAGCTTCATCAATGTTTAACATAATTTAACAATGTTCCAGAAGCTTATTTTGTATCAATAATTAATTTAAAAATTTTGTGATAATAGTTTTTTTTTAATTAAAATAAAATGCTTATTTCTATGGAGACCTTTATGACATGCACGAAAAAAATATTATGTTAACTAATCATTATCCCTTCAAGTTTCCATTTTAAGATGACTTTAATTTCTTTTAACCATATTTTATTATATAAGGTGGCCCGATTGAAGTGGTGACACTCTTTTCCACTTAATCGTAACTCCGTCAGTTTAGGAAACTAAAGATGATTTAAGTTTAATTAAAAATTTTAGACAAGAATAACGTTAAGGTGCTAAAAGATTATTACAGGAATTCCCATATAGAAATTGGTAACTTTCAGGACTCAAATCATTCGTAAAATTGATACAACGGGATCAGCAGATAAAAGATGAACAAATATTAAACGTGTTGATACACTTGTAATAAGTGACAAACCGGGTACTCGTAATACAATTTCTCAAATATCCCAAGAGATTATTATATCACAAACTTAGTACATCAAATTATTCATAAGGATTTGCGGACAAAGTGCAGGAAAAAGGTCTAACATCTTACAAGTGCTAATAAATCTGCTCGTTTATCGTGCTAAGAACTTTTGCGTAAATTCAGTCCAGGATTGATTCATTTTATTTGGTTTATCGATGAGAAGATATTTAATAGCCGTAATTTGTAGAATGATATGCTTTATGTTACATCCGCCAAAAGAAAAGAGAGTCAGTGTTATTCAAACTTATCAAAACTGTTAGTTTCAATTGGTGTTTCAAATTTTGGCAGCTTCAACTCATTTTTATTGATCCAGGTGTTAAGATAAAGAAATCTTATTACAGAGATACTTATTAAAAGAGCGCTTATTGGTTATTTTATCATTCTGTAAAATTTAGTAAAAATTTTTTGAAGTTATGAATAAGTGAAAAATGGTGGCACTTCAATCGGACCAGTATATTGTGTATTAATATAAGAACTAGCGATATACATGTTTTATAATAAGGTAATTGCAAATATGTAATGCACTGAAAGGTTATAACTGTTTATTTAATTTAATATACTTTTGAAGTTATAATACGAAAAATAAAATAAACTTGAAAATATTAGGTAAACGACATTTAAATAAAGAGATAACAAATATCAGCCTAAATTGTAGTTAAATTGTTCTCAAAGGGTACGTATTTTTTTTTAATCTTTCGGGCGTAATAATTATCCACAAAACAAATTTATTACGAACTTTCCTCATTTACATTTTCTGCATATTATACTAGAGATAGATTATGACAATCATTTTTAAATATACGACAATAATTTAAACGTAATAAATTTTTATAATTTTTTTTATACTATCATCATATATATTTTGTAATTCTCTTTCGAAATTCTGACGTGTATTATGTAAAAAAAAAATCAGAAATTGGGGTTTTTTATTTAAAAAAAATGATTTTGAATTTTTTAAATAGGACTTTTTTATATTAATAAGAGATCTGTATCCATTTTTTCTCTCTTCTTCCAATACCGACATAAATTCCAATCTTAAATATATACAAATCATTCCACAGATCAGAAATTATTTAGAGAGTGAAAACACGTTATGTATCAAGAGCATCCGGGACACCACTCAGCAAGCGGAAATGTGTCGAAAATATTTTGGGCCATGGTTTGGATCATGGTATTGATATTCATAGGTAAAAATTTACTCGATATTTTCTTAATTATTTTTACTACATCGAGGAAATTATAACTTAAAGGTGTATTAAATGTTACTCAACTTTTCTCTTTCTTTTTTTTATAGCAAAATGGGGGATTTTATTTGGGCCATTTGATTGCTCCAATTACGCCATTTTTTTAAATTGCAAAAATAAATAATCAGTGTTAGCATAAACAAGTTGTTCCGCTTTCGAGACCCGTTTTTGTAACTATATGTGTTTTTCGCTTAAATGGCAAAATGGGTTGTCTTCATCCGACATAATTAATAACTTTAAAATAAATCGAACCTTTTTTTTAAAAAAAATATCCAGAATTTAAATAATTTATATTTCAATTTTAATCCTTCACTTTTTATCCCGCTGTTGTTTAGTGTTGTTTATTATCAGGGATCGAAGCCGGATTTTTATAACTAAATCCTCCAAATGAGTCCAGCTGTTTGACTCGACCCGACTAACTTATAAAATAGGGTAATAAAATGCTTCCCATAATTATACTTTTTATTTTTATAAAAATATTATTTATCTCATAACGCCCTCAATTTAATAAATAAATCGGTTTTTATATTAAAAAAAGGATTTTTAGTAACAGTAAACTCATATATTCTGAAAATTACAGTCGCAGAGAAAAATAGAGACCCTGAAATATCTTATAAATATAAATAAATCGGGAGATATGAGCACTTCCAATATAGTCCATGGTCTAAGATATATGGGTATTGTAGTAATGTCTATCCTAACTTTTTTTATTGCTCCTCTAGGAAAGAAAAAGATATTAAATTAAACTCAAAGGCTCTTACTTATAACTCTATTCTAATCTTTTTTTTTTAAAAAAAGCATGGCCGGTATGCTATATGATGGTGGACTGGTACGTGTTTTTAATACCGTTTTCTTATTTGATTTGCCCTAACGGAAAAGTGTGGAAATATTTGGAATTGGTCTGGAATTTTCCGAGGACCTGCGTTTTAAACGCCAAAGCCTGCGAACCAATTAAATTACACTAATTCATTTTATGGGATTTTTTTTGTTGCTGTCGGAAATGGTCAAAATTCCATTTGTTAAAGTTCTATTTTTCGTTTTTCTTAAAATAATGAATGTTTTAATTTAATTTTTTTTATAACCCAATTGAATCGCAAAAATATATTACAATAAAAAATAATTAATGTATATTTATAAAAATTTAATTTTCTTATATTTGGCTTGGGAAAAGATATTAAAGGGGAAACAAAAAAAAAATTCTAAAGAATAAAGTTTAAAACAGAGGATAACAGAAATCATTTATATTTTTTAATCACTCAGCAAACATTTTCTAGGACTCAGTAGTATTCGGATCTTGATTATTAAATTTAAATGAACGGATATACAAAACTTAATGTTTCTTTCCTCTATTCTTTTTATGAATATTATCATTATCAAGAATAATCGTAAAACTGTTTATTTTTTCCCTTTCCGTAAAACATACCTTTCCACGGAGTTTCAAAAAAAGATAAAATTTGTGCAAAAATAGATAATATTAAAGAGAAGAGAATAATCAGCTGGAAAATGTCATGAAATCCTATAATAAAAGCTTATAATATTCATTTACTGCCTGTTTTCCGATTTGAATTTGCAAAAAAAAGTCAAAATTATTCATAAAACTTCGAGCTGAGCCTAAAAATCATAATGAAAATCCGATCACGAGGTCTTAAATTTTGATCTCTGATGGTCTTTGATTGATATGATGTGATAATATAATTCTAAAATTACTTTTTTTAATAATTAAACTCCCCTATAAAAATTTATTTTGTTGCTTTTTAATTAATATTATAAATTCAATATTTTATTTTATTCTTAAATAAGATTAATTTCAAATTCAGTGTATTTAATGTTAAATCTAAAGTTTGTATAAAAAACATTTAATTTTAAAATAAAAATATTGCTAAACAGTAAACTTATAAATTAATTATATATTCAAAATGTATTATAATTTATTAGTGGGAAAAGTAAAAAATAGTAATACTTCTTAGTTCACAAATTTCACAGAGAACCCGATATTTTAATGTAATAAAAATTACATGTTTATTAATAACTTTAGACCTAAGAGATAATTTTCCTAGAGGTAATATATAAAATCGCGATAAAAAAAAATCAGGGCCTCCCTTAGTTATAAGTTATATTTAGGCTATGTAAAATTAGTTCTTTACCCCTCTCTCTTATTAATCGGTTAATATTTCACAATGGCGACAAGCAGAATAAATGAATGAACCAGAAACACCTTCCTTAAAATTTCCAGGAATTTAACTCGATTCCTATACAACTAATTTATATTGTTTCTGATGGCTAATTAAATTTATAAATAGCTTTATTAACAAAGTTTGGGATCGAAAGCATAGGAACCTGTCTAAGAACCAAAACTGGCTTATATGCAGAACCGAAACAACTTCTAATGTATAGGTCTGCCCAAAACTATATATCACGATAATTTATCAATTTCCTTTTTACTCTTAAAATAAATAAATAAATATACATTTACCTTGATTCACATCTAGTGGTCCATCATTTTTGTCTACAGAAGATTTTATAGGTATTTGACCATCTCTTAAAATAAACACGAATAAACATTTTTAAATTAAAAAAAAATTATCAATTATTGATCAAATATATACTAGGATTGTGCAGATCTTTTACATTGTTCAGATCGGATGTGATTAGCAATCGATCCGATAACCGATATTTAAATTGATTTTTTATTATAATGGCTGGTTTAGCTCTTTATTTATTTTAAACATATATATTATGCAATATTAGGAAATAAAATTATTATTTTTAATAAATTAAAGTCTGTTCTGCTCATTTTGCTTAAAAAATATTAAAAAATTTACCCGCACACACCCATCCATTATTTTTAAGAATCTTTTTACGCTCCCAATAATGAAAATATTTTCTTAAAATCGACTGCGCCAGCCTATAAAAATTTAACCACCAAATCCTTTGCCAAATGAGGGAAAAACTTCCAATAATTTACTTTCGTATTTTTATAGCTAAATGAAGCCGTTTAACATAACTATCATAGCTTTGACTTATTAGATATTTTATATCTAATTGCTCTTAAAATAATTAGATTTTTTTTGATTCCTTTTACGAATTTATTATTATGAAATTTTGTATAAAATAAAAGATAGTAATTCTAATTATATATAAACAATCATAATATAATGAAAAACAATCAAAATATCTGAAATGATTATCGGCCCGATCTTATATTTAAAAAAACGCCAAATATCTGCCCCTATTCGATCCGATATTTAATATCAGCACAGTCCTGATTTTCTTCATTAATTAAATTTACCCTTCGTTAATATTCAATATTAATAATATTAAATATTAATTGTTAGAAGTATATTTTTAAATAAGATATTATTTGAACATCTTAAAAATTCAATGTATAATTTTTAGAACCATCAAACCTTTTGTATTGATCTTGTTTTTCGTCGTATGGGTCATAACCATCATCCACTGAGTCCATGTGAAATTCGTAAAAATTATCATTATGCCTCAAGGATTTTTCTCTGTTAGGTATATACGAAAAATTGTTATTACTGGCCGGTTTCATATGTGAAGGCGCCATGAGAGTTTGGTCCAATTCCTTAATTATATCTTGCAGTATATCATCTTTCTGAAGTTTCACATCCTGTCAAAATCATGTAGTTTAATAACAAATCATTGGGGTAGGCATAGGATGCCAGAAATTACACCCCCATGTAGTTTAATAACAAATAATTGGGGTAAGCATAGGATGCCAAAAATTACACCTCTTTCCTTGGACTATTTTAATGAGGTAGCATATTTTTAGAACTCAGAAAGAATTAATAAAATTAAATATTATAAATTGTGCTAATCATTTAAAAATCAATATTATTTTTAATATCATGGTCTTTATAACATAAATATCTCTTCTTTTGAGATTTTTTTATAACAGTGTAATTATGATAGTCAGAAAATTTATTTTGGTTTGACATTCGCAAAGTAGTGTTAAATTACTCAATTTGAGCCTATTTTTTTAAAAAAAATACTAACTCAATATTTTAACCAGATAAATCTTGCCCAAGCCTTGAGATTTCCCTTAGATGTCCAGACCTTTGTGCCATTTATGAGCAAAATTTTTAGGCTTGTTTAAAATTTTTCTAGTTAAATATTGAGTTAATGGTTTTTAAAAGTAGGTTCAAATCGAGCCATTTAGCAGCACTATTGCAAACCTTGATTTTTTCCCCCTAAAAATTAAGCTAGATTTTTTGTTACAAAAACAAGATAATTCTAAAATAATTATATTATAATTTAGATGTGATTTTTTGTTTAACACTCGAAAATTTCTATCAAAAAATAATCTTGTTTGGATAAAATTGAATCCATAAATTATATAAGAACACTCCAAATATTCTTCATTTGCAAATTCTTGTATGAAACATTATAAAAATAGTTTTGTAGAGGCAAAGAATAGTTTTTATTCTTATTTATTATAATATTTTAAGCTAATCTAAAGATAATTAAGTTACAGGTTTTGGATATGATGGATGTAAACTTAGTTGTGCAAAAAAAATCAATTATCAAAAATGTCAGAAAGGGTAAACAATAGAAATATGAAAAACCCCAACCCATGAAGTGGGTTATTTTAATTAATTTTTTGTTTGGGGGTAGGGAATTTTTTTTTCAGATAGGATATGTTAGGTCAGGTATAAAAATATCTTTGTTATGAATTTGAATTTATTCAGTGACATCAAAAAATCAAGAATTTATAACATATTAAGAAGAAGAAAATTTATAGTATATATTTTGATATTTGGGTCGAGTTAGGTCCAAATATAGAATTCATTTTCTATTCAGTAAGGGATGTATCAGGATGTTTTTAAATTTTGTTATAAAAATACTTTTCTTCCTACAAAATCATGTTTGTCAAATATGTTATTTGCAGCTCTTTTGATAGTGATGCAGCTAATATGTAGTTAGGAGTTAAATTAAATCAGATACCATAAACATTAACATATATATTCATGACAGAATTTATGGAATAACCATAAAATCATTGGGATGGTTATATAAAAATGGTTACCCAATAATAAATCTTCAAATATGGATTGTTGATTATCTTCGAAGTGTGAATATATGCATTAGTTTAAATAATAAGTGATTATTGCATTGGTATTTTTATTTAATCTTATGCTTTTGTTCTAGGTTTTATTTCTGCATTACAATGCTAAATAATAAATATAGGCTAACCAAAACTCAACATATCAGAGCTGTTATATTTAATTGGACATGGACATTCTTATCTACTAATTTCTCATGGGTGTTTAAATAAGAGGTACTGTCTCCTGTGCATATGGCTTACTCAAAAATAGTGGAGGTCCTTGTTATCCAGTTTGATGGATTTTTTGATAAAACCAAGCTTTATTGATATGGATAAAGCTAGGTGTTTAATATCATGAAAGTCAAAAAGTGATATAGAAGGTTTCCTTTGTTTAAAAAAATATGTAACTACAATTCTGATGTTTGATTTGCTGCAAGATATATCAATACAAATTCTAGGCTTAATCCTGAATTTTTGTCCATTCTCTGTATATTCAAGCAAGATGAAAGTATCATTTATGGTTTTATTGTTAAGAAATTTTTATAATAATTCAGTACAAAATTTTTTGTAAAAAAAATATAGAGGACTTTTATGTACTCATGGGAAAAAGTTGCCTATAAAATTAAAATTAGTGGCGTATAACATAGACCAGAGTCATATGGTTGAGTCCATTGTGTCCAAATCATTATAAAGAAATTTGTAGTTTTAAAACTATCATAAGTTTAATGTAATAATGGTATATTTTGAAAATATTAAAATTATAAATTATATTATAGACAGTTTTTTATTTTTATATTTTAATAGCTTATTTATTTATTTTCATTACAGAAGGTTTGTGAATTTATTTTTTGATGTTTTGCACACAATCTAACACAAAAATATAAATCCTTTCTATCAATATGTAAGATTTAAATATAATAAAAATTACTTGAATTTCATTTTTGCCCTTTTTGGTAGATGCCTTAAACATTTGTTTAATATTTGCACCATATTTAGTCTTTTCCACAATATTAATTTCAGTTTTTTTTCTTTTCTTATCTATATATATAAATATTTTAATCCTATAATTCAATAAACTATAATTATTATATTTAAAAAAACTACAATATAGTTTCTCTAATAAATTTTTTATAAATATATAGTTATATTATAAAAATAACTTTCATAATTTTCTTCCATATCTTCATCTTCCATTTCAAATATCTCTCTTCCATCATCTCTATATGCGCCACTGCCTGATAATTTAAAACATTAATCAAAAAGATATTAAGGGTGCATTATTATTTTACCATCATCAACAATCCAGTCATCCTCTTGCCTACCACGTATAATTTCACTATATTTACTCTCATCAACTTCTTCGTATACATTATCGATATCTTTTATCTATAAGTTCAATAAAGTAATATAATATAGTAAGCTATAATACAAACTTCTGCCTTATATTTTCGTCCTTCAGATTTTAATTTTTGAAGTTTCTCCAATGCAGAAAGACGTTCGTTGGAAGATTTTTTAGTTCTAGATGTTCTGCTAGACACTAAATACAAAAATATATATATTTTTTTGAGATAATATTAACCAGATTCCATATGATTTGGCGGGGTTTTTTTTAAATGCACTATGATAAGTATGATACCCTTTGGAGAACATATAGCATTAACACCTAGAACGTGATTTCAGCGAATAGCCCTCTACTGTTGACAAGCTAAAGAGCTACGCTAGATTTTCCTCATAATCCATCAAACTGGATATTTAATATAGGGGGAAAGAAAAATATGAGGAGCCCTTCTCACGTTTGCGGGCAAGTCATACGTGGTCATAATAGTCCAAAAACTGCTATTGACTAAGAAAAAAAAAGAGTTGGGCAAATCAAAGCCTGACCGAGAACTTCAGTATAATTTAATTACTTTAAGGGTGGGAAGGTGGCTAATTTTAAGTTTAAATTTCTTTGTTAAGTCTTAAATAATTATTCTCCATACTGAGTATCCATGGAATTTCAATATATCCTAAGTGAACAAAATTTAATATATATTATTTAACTTTTTTAATAAGATCATATGAAAAAAATTGTTCACACTTATCATTTAACAAATTGCATGATACATTTGCAAAAAAGTTTACATACAGATGTAACCTTAACCATTCGTAACTTCACTTATATTAATGGTACAGTCAAAACTGGATAATTGCGAGGCGTTGGGACTAAAAATATTTATTTTTTCGCAATTATAAGATGCAATATAATATTTGCACCTTACTTTAAAACAAGCTTACTAAGATAATTCCTTAATATATATAAGTAGACCCTGCTAAATAAATCAGAATGAGTGAATAGTAGATATAGATTATTTAATTGAGAAATGTTTTTATTTTCTTATCTGAAAATACTTTTTAATATTTAATTTATGAATTGCAAAATTATAATTACACATGATATATTATTTTCCTTTTGGAATATAATAACAGATGAAACAAAACAAATTAAGTATCAATTAAACAACCCAATCCCTAACAGCAATGCCTTTTGCTCTTCAAGACCTAACTATAATCATAACACCCCAAATTTAAAGGCTAAACTTATCAGCCGTAAAATTAACACATGTAATATTAAAGCAGCTTTAAATTTAGCAGTGTCCGAAGACACCATATCCCCTGACAATTTGGACACAATACTCTTATTACAATCTATACATCCCCAAGATTTTAATAAATTACCACCACCACCTCTATCCATTCCTACTCCTCCTTTAACTGTCATAGAAGTTACTAAGGCAATAGTCTCTTTCAGAAAAGACTCCTCAGGAGGACTTGACGGTTTTAGAGCTATATACCTTCAGGACCTTACCAAATCAACAACCACCAGCATTGAACTTATAAACAACATAACAACTCTACTTAATCATATTTTAAACGACAACATACCTTCTACAGTACAACCTCTTATTCACGGTGCACGCTTAATAGCCTTAAACAAAAAAAATGGCGGCATTCGCCCAATCGCTGTTGGCTCTATTTTCCGCCGAATTATATCTAAAATTATTTGTACCCGCATTAAAAGCAAGCTCACCGAGCGATTAATTCCCCATCAGCTTGGCTTCAACATACCTTCCGGTTGTGAGGCAGCCTCCCACGCCACACGTATCCAACTTCAGGCCACTAAAAACTGCATACTAAAAGTGGATTTTAAAAACGCCTTTAACTCTTTAAAACGAGAACACTTTCTCCCTATTTTCTGTGACGCTTTTCCAGAATATTCTCCATATCTTTTTGCCTCTTATAACAATTCATCCTACCTTAAATTCAACAATACAATAATTGAATCAAGGCAAGGCATTCAACAGGGTGATCCCCTTGGACCCGCCCTTTTTTGCTTAGGTATCCAGCCGATCATTGAATCGATAAATCGTGAGACAAATTTGACCCTCAATGTTTGGTATTTGCATGATGAACCCTTGCTGGTCCATATGATGAACTCCTAAAAATAGCGCCTATAATAAATAATCTAACCAATATTACAGGGTTGTCTCTCAATAACAACAAATGTGAATTTTATTCACAAGATGAAACCTTCATCGTTCCTCATAACTTCACACCCATTAATTTATCCGGGTTCACACATCTTGGATCTCCAATAGGCGGCAATAAAGCAATCGAACATTTCAAAACAAAATTTCTCCGTAATTTCTACCTTTTACATAAAATCCTTCAAGTCTTTCCCTCCCATCAAGCTTTCTTCCTTCTCAAAAACTTTTTATTTATCCCAAAAATCCAACACGCCTTCCGCTCTGCCCCACTTTTCTTATACCCGGAAATTCTCACCCAAATTGAATCAACAATCAAAGACTCTTTAGAAGGCATCCTTAATATAAAATTCAGCCCTAATTCTTGGATGCAGGCCTCCTTACCCTCGAAATTTGGGGGTCTTGGCTTAAGATCACCCGTGTCACTCAGCCTTGCTGCTTTTTTAGCCTCAGAATCAAGCTCCCGCTTAATTATGCTATCACTTAACAATAATCGCACAGACCCCCACTTAATAATCGCACAGACCCCTACTTTCTCCACGCCCTAGCAATCTGGAAAGATAATTCCTTCTCCGCTCCAATCTCCACATCACGAAAGCAACATGACTGGGATCTTCCCTTAATACACCACTCCGTTGAATATTTAATATCGAGTGCTGCTTCTAAGGGATCCCCATCAATCCTTTCACATTTATTATTTCCCATTACAGTTGATGAATCCTTAACAGTTGATCATCTCTCTCTCCCACAACTGCAAGTTCCACAACTTTTGCCTTCCTTATCGGGCTATGAATGGTTAGAAGCTTTGCCCAGCTCAAACTTAGGACTTCTCTTAACAAACGAAGAATTACGCATAGCAATAGGTCTCCGTCTTGGTTGTAATATACTGGCCAACTCCACATGTACATTATGTTCCCAACCCGTTGATTGTTTTGGACACCATCCTCTTCATTGTCGATTCTCTAAAGGTAGATATTCTCGACACAGTGCAGTTAATGGCACCATTCTCCGTGCTCTATGCTCAGCTCAAATTCCAGCAACCCTCGAACCCTGTTGCCTCTCAACCGAGAATAATATACGTCCAGATGGGCTGACATTAATACCATGGAGTAATGGAATTCCATTAGCATGGGACTATACCTGCATCGACCGATTTGCTCCCTCCTTTAATAAGAACTCATTCATGCGAGCTGAAAACTCGAAAATTAATAAATACACTTCCCTAACAAATTGCAATCTCATACCAATCGTATCCGACACAACCGGGTCTTTTGGCAATCATGCCCTAACCTTCTTCAAAACCCTCGGTAAAAAAATCCGCGCCATCACTGGTGATCCTCAGGAAGGCTTCTATCTCAGACAGCGCATATCTATTGATATATGCAGATCTAACTGCATTGCCATCCATGGCTCTCTTTCTTGACCTCCTCCCACCCAACATACAATTCACTATTCTAATTATTTTATTTTTTTTATTATACAGTTTTTTATATAGATTTTATAGTTTACATGACATTTTTAATATATATATTTTTTTAAATTACGTATATATGTTTTACTTTTAACGTTCAATGTATTAAATATTTTTATTAATAAAGTATATATATCATTAAAAAAAAAAAATTCTTAATTGCTGATGTTTTGTTTGTACAAGCTGATAATTTCGATTCTATATTATATATATTGCGTTTTAGATAATAGCGTTTTACGTTTCTCAATTTCGCGTTTTATATAATAGATTTCGTAATATAGCATTTATTTTTAATTACTCGTTTTTTATAATATATCATTTTATATTTATTTTTGATTACGCGTTTTATATAATAATTTTTATCAATATTAAAGTTCAATTTAATCATCATTTTTTTTAAAAATATATTTAATTGTAGTGTTTTGTATAATAATTTTTTTTTATTAATATTAAATTTCAATTATTTTTATTTTTTAAATTTTAAATTTTACTCCCTTGTTTTCCAATACAAACAACTTTTTCATATCATAAATTATCTTTAAATTGTTCTTTCTAAAAAGAATTTTATTTCGCCTTCCATTTCTAATATATGATTTCCATATATTCTTAAAAACTTTTTTTATCATCAAGATGTTAAACTATCACCTTGCTTTCTTAATAATAATTGTTTGAAATTTCTTTATTTTCACAGTTTTTTAAAATTTTTTATCAATTATAAAAGTTTTTATTTCATTATTTCCTTTAATGTTTATATCCTTATTTTCTTTAAAGTATATTTCCTTAATTTCTATAATCACAAATGTTTCAAATTTTATTATATAATTTATCTCTTTTAGTTTATAAGAATCTCTTTCATTTTGAATATATGGTTCTAATTCAATATTTTTCAATTTTTTGCTACTAAGAGATTTACAATTACAATGATAATTTCTTTTATTACAATGTGTTTCTTTATCATATTTATTGTTATGACCTCTAAAGTTGTTAGTTTTATAATTCTGTAGTCTCTATAATTACAATTTTAATAATATCTAAAATTGCAATTTTTATAACAAAGTTTCGTCCAAAGTTGTTTTTAAAATGGTCATTACAGTGGCGTAGATCAAGGGGGGGGGTTATCGAATTTTTTTTGTTATAATTATTATTTTTTTTTTTTTTATAAAATAAACAATTATTATTTTTGTATTGCGAATAATTATATTTAAAAAACGGTTTCAATTTAGAGAAATATAGATAATATATTATATATAATACAATATGAATATGAATATCACATATGAAATATATTTATAAAAAAAGGAGTTTTAAATTTTAGCTAATGAATCACATCGTTTAAACAATATAGTATAAATTCCCATATTTGAACTAAAATATTAAATAATCAATAAATACGAATAAAGATCATATGTGTATGTAAATCAATTTCTGGCATAGTTAAATTTATTAAATAACAATAAAGATATTTTGTAAATATTTTCTAGGCATTGGCATAGTTAAATTAGATATTTATAAATTATAATTATTAAATATATATTTTTAAACTATATAGATAGTTTGTAAATTTTAATTTCTTATAATTTTTAAATATGGATATCTGTAAGTTTTTTCGTCAACAACAAAAAGAAAAAGGTATATAAAAATTTAAGTTGTGTAATTTGAATTAGAAATATATATTATAATTATTGATGCTATCATTTAGTTCAGGGAGGCAGGGCTTGGCGTTAAGAGCTCATAGGATATCTCCTGGTCTCCTAACAACTTACATCCCCTTCTCACAATGATAGGAAATTTCAAGGATATTATTGAAATATCTATGTAATAATAATGACAACTACCTAAAGCTTTTTGAAAGCTCCTCTAAAAATGCTACTTGACCTAAGTCCCACTATGTCAAAATGAAATAATATCAATATGCAATCAGTTTATATTAAAGGAAGTTTCTTCAAAAGTCAAATGCATCACCATTTTTTAGTGTTTTGGCGGATGAAACTTCCGATATTGGTAATATTGAACAACTATCCATAGCAATAAGGTTTATTGATATGGAATCAGGTAATTATAAAATGAAGGAACTATTTGTTCAATTTATTGAATTACCTGACACTAAGTCAGAAACGATTGCTAATCAAATTATTAAATCACTTCAAAACCTGGATTTAAATTTAAATCTACTGAGATGCCAAGGGTACGATGGAGCTCCCTCGATGAGTGGCCATGTTAAAGGGGTCCAGTCAAGAATTAGAGAGCTTTATAGCACAGCTCTTTATGTTCACTGCAGTTCACATTGCCTGAATTTGATGATAACTAAGGCATGTGAAATTAGAGACATCCGGAACAGTTTACGTAAAAAGATTTTGATTTAATTGAAATTTATTAGATTTTATTATGTATTATAGATATCTTTATATAATTTTTATATATTTTTCAAAATTTAGAAACAATATCGTCGGTTTGTGACTTCTTTACCCCACCCAAGAAGAGGGAGATTTTTACCCAAACGTTCGATGAAATTGATTCAAAATATTCAAAAAAAAAATTAAAAAGATTTTGTCCCACAAGATTCATTGAAAGACAACAATCGGTGAAGGTTTTCATCGAGTTATATGAGGTTATTTTTGCGGCACTGGAATCATACATATTACGCAAAGAAAAAGATTCCGCAGATGCGGAAAATCTTTTACAGGCTATTACGAAGCCTCAATTTTTAATTTCAATTCAATGTGTTTATTTTTTATTTAATTATACATATGATTTTAGCAAAATGTTACAAAAAATTGATTTGGATTTAAGGGAGGTTATGAATAGGGCAAAGGATATTGTTGAAATATTAACAAATATCAGAGATAATGTGGATGAAAATATTTCACGAAATATATGAGAAAGTAAAGGAGATCGCTAATATGTTTGGGATTGAAATTTTTAAACCTAGAGTAGTTTCTAGACAATCCAATCGCTCAAATATTGATGCATCTACGATTGAGGATTTTTATAAAATTAACATTTTTATTCCACTTATTGATACATTTTTATTTCAATTAAAGGAAAGATTTATAAGTCACAATTTTATTTTAAAAAGCTTTTATTTTCTTTTGCCGGTTGAGTCTGAATTGTTGATTACACTTGAAACGCGAGAGGATATTAAGAACATCTCAGAGTTTTATTCTGATGATTTATTAGGGTCGTATGATAAGTTACTTTGTGATGTCGAATTTTGGTATAAAAATCTTGGCAGAATAGAGTACTCTTTGAGACCAAAAAATGCTTTGCAGGCCCTTTCCATGTGTAATTGCACTTTAGATTCCCTGCCCAATATCAAAACATTGTTTTTTATTTTAGCTACTTTACCGATTAGTACCTGCACTAATGAAAGGTCTTTTTCAACTTTGAAAAGGTTAAAAACCTATTTAAGAAATAGCACCGGTGAAAACCGTTTAAATGGATTAGCCCTATTAAATATTTATAAGGAGATTATTCTAGATAAAAATTTGATTCTAGATGAATTAGCCAAATCTCAGAGAAAAGTAGACCTCTCTTTATAAATTCAAATCATATAATTGTAATATTTTCTTAGTCATAAAATTTTTATATGTAAAACATAATTATAATGAATTTTTAGTCATGATATTTTTATACTATATTTATTAATAGTATTGCACCTACAATAAGAATTATTTATATAATATACTCATTTGTATTAAATATAACTGTTAAATTATATTTTTTTAAATTGCATACAAGAATTACTTATATTTTATTGTAATTTTATTTTTTTAAAATATAGATATTTACAATCAATTTTTAAAATAGTAATCTGTATAAAATTTCTAATTTTGAAATTTATTTTTGTATATAAAATAAACACATAGTTAAATAAAGGGTTTATACTAAATAAAATTGTTAAATTGTATTTTTTTAGCAAGAATTACATATTTTATTGCAATTTTATTTTTTAAAATATAGTTATTTACATTCAATTTTTAATATAATAATCTGTATAAAATTTATATATTTTGAAATTTATTTTTTATATATTATTAAAATAAATACATAGTTAAATAAATAAAGTTAATAATAAATAAAATCTCTGCAAAATATTGTTATATGCAAAAATTTAATTAAAATAATTATTTTTAACATAGAATAAGATATATTGAGTTGATCATAAAATTGGAAGGTTTGGGGGGAGGCAAATTTTTTTTACATCGAATAGATTGAATTAATATACAATTTACTAAACATTGATAACATTTTCAAAATAATGCTTTCAGTCGCTTATTAATTATAAATTTGGCAAAAATTTTAATTCTAATATTTTTTAATATTTATGCTGGCCTGGGTATAATAAACTTTTTTCAAACCCCCCCCCCCCCCCCCCCCATGGATCAATCCTGGCTACGCCACTGTGACTACCTATTGTGACGATTGCTTAATCCATTGAGATGACTCTATTTATAGACTACCATATTGTGGTGACTACCTATTGTGACGATTGCTTAATCGATTGAGATGACTATTTATATGACTACCTATTGTGGTGACTACCTATTGTGACGATTGCTTAATCCATTGAGATGACTCTATTTATATGACTACCTATTGTGACGATTGCTTAATCCATTGAGATGACTCTATTTATATGACTACCTATTGTGGTGACTACCTATTGTGACGATTGTTTAATCCATTGAGATGACTCTATTTATAGACTACCTATTGTGGTGACTACCTATTGTGAGGATTGCTTAATCCATTGAGATGACTCTATTTATATGACTACCTATTGTGGTGACTACCTATTGTGACGATTGCTTAATCCATTGAGATGAATCTATTTATATGACTACCTATTGTGATGACTACCTATTGTGACGATTGCTTAATCCATTGAGATGACTCTATTTATATGACTACCTATTGTGGTGACTACCTATTGTGACGATTGCTTAATCCAT